TCGGCAACCTGGATTCCTTCGGCCTTAAGTCAGATGCTGGAAATTTGAGCAACTTCGCAGTGCATCCGCCGAAGCAATTTTTTGTGCAAGAGATTCCCAAGCACATTTACAAAGTTGCGCGATGAAATGAAACCAAAACGGTCTAGTGGCGCTGTTCAGAAGCACTTCAATCAAGCACCCTGGCAAGAACTCCGCCGGCAAAAGCAAGCAGAGACTTTGCACCACCTCTTCGGAACAAGAATCAAGTGGCAGCAGCTAGTCTGCCTTTAAACATGGATGGATGGATGCATGGATGGATGCATGGATGCATGGATGGATGGACAGACGGAGGGAGGGAGGGATGGATTTATGGATGCATGCACGGATGTATGTACGCATGCACGCACGCACTGGATGGACAGATGGACGGACAAACGCACCCACATGCGCACATGTACCGCCACCAATCACCTGCAGGACCCAGCACACTTGGCAGAACCAGGGAATAGTAATGAATAGTACCCTGATCTTGAAATTGTGCCACACGGAAAAGGGTGCAGATTGGCAATAAGATTGCAAAGCGCCATTTGGCACTGAGCAACATGTAAGCCACCCACTCGCGTCGCTCCTCACCTTTCAAAATCGCTAGAACGTTCCAGCCACTGCACAGAAAATCACAGGAGTGCATTAAGTCCTGTCTGGAGTTTCAGCTGAGCAAACGACGCTGCAGTGAGCTATACCTTGCAAGCTCAGTAGCTTAACATTTTCAAAATCAAAAATGTACAAACTGAATGCTGAAGAATTTGAATGGCAAATGCCAATTCTTCATCTTTGCACGACCTCAGATACCCACACTGAAGCGTCCACAGCCCAGTCTACTGCCACTACGCGACCGCAAATCCTCGAAGCTGAACGAGAAACCCTAACGGCGAAAATTGGAACATTCGTCTTGCTGTCCAAAAGTCGTCTCCAGTCGTCTCTTGCTATCCCAAAGTCGGCCAGTCCTTTTATTGTTCAGCTCAGAGACAGCACGCTCCGCATCAGCAGTCTGCCAGGGATACCACCCACTGCGCTAACTCTGAACATCATCCAGTCACTCCATGTCACTCTGAGTCACTCCCACGACTAATTGTTCTGCACTTCAGTCTTACCTGCTCGTATTGGATGAAAGCAAAGCCACGATGAAGATTTGAACCCTCCTGCAACACATCACAGCATATTTTTGCTTCGATGGGGTATAATTGGTTTTCTGCATACACACTCACAAACTGTCACAAGCAAGCTTCAATCATTTCATGCGCACATGCACAAGCAAGATTTTTGGGAAGACTGCGAGGGCCAGCTGCCTTCCTTCAAGGCCACTATTTAAAGGCGGCAAGTTCAAAACCCAAGGATCTTCAAGCGAGGCTCTTATCACTTCGATCATGTTTGATATCTTGAACACAACAACCTGGAACCTTTGTTCTTTGCCACCCTTCTGTCTTCGCTACGGCTACATCTCTCAATTCTTGAGGGCTGGGGCCCCAGTGCTCTGCAAGATGAGCTCAGTCATGGCAGAGACTGATGGATAGTCGAACACCAGGGTGACAGGAAGCTGCACCCCAGGCAAAGCTTGGGAAAGCTCCTGCGAAGGGACCGAAGGGACAGGGATCTCTGAATCAACACTTTCACAACTTGATTCACTTAAAATTCCATTAAATTCCTCACTTTCACAACACGTTCATTTTTTGAAGTCACTTGTGGTCAATGCTAGGATCTAAAAGGATTGAAGGATTGCACTCAATCCATATCTCAACACCTGCAGCCAGGGTACATCGCGCATAATGATTGCCTGGGCGCGATGGAAAGTGTCACGAATATAGACCAAAGAGTGAGCCGCCCATCCCTAAACTAAGACCTGGACGGAGTTGCTTGTGAGACCCGCTTCCATTAATGGTGTGTCAGCTTCAATCTCTCCATCATCAGCACCTGTGATCCTGAGGGCAATCTCTTTCACCTGCAAGGTCAGAACAACCAAACCACATTGCCTTTCATGCCTTTGACATCTTGGACTGCAAAAAAACTCAATGAAATGTCAACGAAATGAGGCATCTCTTGCAGAGCCTTGCCAGTCACCACCTCAAGGCTAAGCCCAGATTTCACGTCCAGTGCTGGTCCCGCAGGTCCCCTTTGCACTGGCTTTGCAACTGCAGCCTGTTCAACAAAGTTGTTCTCAGGAAATCATGTAAACCACGTGTAAACCACGTGTAAAGCATGCAAACCGTGCAAGTCATGCAAGTCATGGTCTAGTGAGACCAAGGAGACCATCTGGACTTCAATGGACTTCAATGGACTTCGATGAACTTCCGGACCTCAGGTGGTCCTCCTTGTTCTGACTGCTGTTGCCACACCGGAACTTGTGGCTGCCCAGGTGCAGCTGCAGGTGGTGGCGGCATGAATTGAGGCGCCTGTTGCTGCATGAACTCCTGAAACGCTACACAGCTTGAAGTTTATAAAATGCTACACAGCTGTAAGATTGACACCACTGCTTTTTGATGTTTTTTGTGCTGTGTCCTGGAAAGTGGCAATCACTTCCAGCGCCAAGTTCTCTCCAGCAGTGTCATCTACGTGCCGATATAGTGCCAAAGCTTCATCTGCTGCTTCTGCAGCCTGAAAAATGGAGAATGCAATAGCTCGCACCTCTATAGATTCTAAGACGTTTGAGAATTTTCAAGACGTTTGAGAATTTTTGTAAGCCATGATGGAGAGTGGCTAAATTTTGGCTCATTGCACAACTGATAGGTGGCTTACTTGTAGTTTTCTGAGTCAGAAATGCAGAAGCTTGCCTCCTTCACTCGCTCGAGCGCACGCAAATTATCACAGGTCAGCATCAAAGCGTTGGCTTCCAGCTGGTAACCTCTAAGCTGGCTCGGACCAAAGTATGAAATATGAAAATCAAAATCGGGCACAAAAAGTAAATATGAAAAGCAGCATTCCCCGATGTTTTAAAAAAAATATGTTTCTCCAGAGTGACAACCCAAATCCCGGTAGATGAGCACAGCTTCATCTGCACAGGCAAGAGCCTCCTCAAAGCGCGCCTTCAAAGTGAGACCCTGAGCTCTGGCACAAAGCAGAGAGCCCATCAACTCGGGTGCTGTTGCAAGACCTGTATTTTTCGCAAGTTTGATTCCAGCTTCAGCAAGTTTGATGCCCTTGTCCAATGCATCGCGTGCTTGCCTCGGAATCGGCTCCTCGCTGTAGATTTTAGCTCCCTCCTTGACCGAAAGACGAACTGCGTTTTCGGAGATCATGTACATGCCTTTGTTGATCAATTAATTACAAATGAACAAACCTTTGGTGGACTGCGTTTTTTGAATATTCTGAAGAACCACTAGTTACATAAAGAAAAAAAACAGCAAAACCCGATCAAATAGAGGGACCCGGGGTCAAACAACTCTTGAATTCATGCGTCCAAAGCGCAAGCGATCTCTCCCTCATTCTTGCCCAACTCGCGATACAAAGCTCTACTCTTCTCTGCAAAGCGGATGGCTGACTTGAACTCGTTTTTCTTCCACTGTATCTCCGCACTCATTTTTAAGGCATCAGCCTCACCTGATGTATCTGACTCTTCTCCAAACATTGCCTGGGCTTTTGTGTTGTAGCTTGATGCTTCTTCAACGTTGCCTCTTTTGAATTCCAGGGTTGCAGCAATCAATAAGGCATGTCCCAATGCTTTCCCATCATTTTGCTGCTCAAAAATCTCCTTGAATTCCAGTGCTTGGTCCAAGGCTTCATCTCTATGGCCCTTGTGATACTTCGCTTCGATCAAGACGTGCATGGCCTCCACCTGAGTAAACTCAGCACGAGTCACACAGGAGTAACACAGGAGTCACACAGGAGTCACACAGGAGTCCTGGATTGTCCTGAGTGTGCCCTCGTTGTGTATTCCTTTTTCTTTTTTACGCTACCTTTTCCGCATGGCCACTTCGTGGCAATTTCATGCAACCTAGAAAAGAGGGCAGATCCAGGTTCGTTGATCAGTACCGCACCTTGTCCTCGCAAATCCTCTTTGTTGTGGAAGGGATCTTCTTCAGCATCGCGAACGCATCCTGCGCAATGCCTATGGCCTTGTCCAGCTGTGCCATCCGCAAGCGAGCACGTCCAACTGTGAGCATCAGGGAAGCCTGGACCAAAAAACCAATGGCATCCCAATGGCATCATGCCTGGGTCCAACCCGGTATGGCATCTATACTTCTCAGGGATGGAGGGCAAGGAGGGGAGGCAACGATGGCAATGAAAGCAACCAGGGGAAGGAGGCAAGGAGAGCAAGGACACATTTACTCTATCTTCATCAATCTTCCCCAATCTTCATCAATCTTCATCACTTTGTTTTGGTTCCCTACTCCGGGAGCGAACCTGCGCAGCTGCATCTCCCAGCTCCTTGCACACGGTGATCCCGCGCTTGGCAGCTGTCAGAGCCTCCTCAACACGGTTTGCCTTCACATACAGCTCGACGAGCATGCGAACGGCTTCAACCTCAGAATTTGATGACAATTCTGTGAAACTTGCCATACTTTCTGCTTTGACAACTTAGCCAGTGTTATCATTGTTTCTGTTTGCTCGTGTTCCGTCTAGGCGTTGAGGAAAAGGAAGCTGTCATGTCTTGCCCATGTCCAGTGTCCTGCCTGGGCAGGCTTGTTGTTCTGTTCCCGGAAATGCCTCAGCGCTTCTGCAGCGACAAGCCGCGCCTTCCGCATGTCCTGCCGTGCCAAATGGGCATCGAAGACACGCCGGAGGGCCTCCCAAGAATTGACGGGCTGGAATCCAAAAAGATTGCATATGGATTGCATGCTTTATCACTCTTGCCTTGAATGTGAAATGTCAGACTTCTGCTGCACTTACGCACCAGCATGGTCTCCAGCCTTTACTTCGAGTGAGGACTGCAACATTTGATAGATCTCCAGAGCATCTTCAGCATCAGAAAGAGCTCTGGCATGATCTCCGAGCTTCAGGTTCCATTCCGACATCTTCCTTCCGCAACACAAGACATACTCTGCGCAATCGCCCAACAACGAAGATGTTTCAAAAATAGAGAAGTTTCAGAGACTGCTTCAATGTGAACCCATAGCCAAGCTGCAAGAGCACCATAGCTTCCATGCGTTTATCCTGAGCCGACATACCGAATTTACAATCCATGCAAGCAATGCTGTTTTTCACTTCCTGCTTCTAAACGCAACTTCCCGAAGCCGTGAAATCAATACGGCCGTCATTACACCAGCATCGACCAGAAACGGCAAAAGTGCGAGTAATCGTCATGTCAGTAAATATACTGCGTCCATCTGATTCCTCAATAGTACAAAATTGCCGCCTTCCCCCCGCATTCCCAAGTTGCAAGTGGGATATATGATATAAGGCCATCTTTTGACAAGACACAACATGGGTAGACAAAGTGGGGGCTTAATGGGAGGCAATAGTGAAGACAAAATGGGAGACAAATTCATCTAGTGACAAGATCCCGGAGAAGAAAAGAGGGAGTCAAAGCACGGTGCAAATCATCTTTGACCAGGACATACCAGGACCAGTTTTTACCAGTTTTTCAAAAGACGAACTCCAACAGCAGTGTTTGGGGGACAAAGCAACGCCAGTTCTTTCTGTTTGCCAAGCTCCTTTGTGCAACGGCCGGGTGCAAATGGAAAAGCACATAACCCTGGCATAGACCCTATATAGCAACGTACATACCAAGTCGCTTTTTGTTCTCCTGCATCAAAGTCATAGCAGCAACAGCATGCAGACAACAAACACTCTTTGACATCTTTTGACCAAAAGCAGCTGTGCAGCAAACCCAAGACACCTCTGACAGCACCAGCACCCATGGCACCATCACCCTGTAGCAATGGCCCCCTGTCTCCAAAGTTCCCGCATGACACCGGGGAACCGCGGCAGCCGCACTATGTAGCAGTTAGACTGGTTTCCAAAGCACAAGCTTACTCTGGCAACTTGAAGCAAGAAGGTCTGAATCTGGTGAAAAACATCCTGAATCAATCACAGATTGGTAGCAGACTTGCCAGTTTTGTGTATGTCTCTGATTCTACCTGTGTACGAGATGCAAAAACTAACCTAAAGTAATACCAATGTAGATGTTTCTGTCTGTGTAAGCGTTAGAAAGTATTTGTATTTGTGCAGGTGAGCTAGGTGCTATCCGGTGCTTGTATGTTTCGATCAAGTGTCCCGAAGTTCGAGAAAGAGATCCATGGCTTCGTCGGCTGCATCTAATGCATCATCGGGGGATGAAACCAACCCACGAGACTCTGCCATGGCCCAAAGACACTCGGCCTAGGAATGCAATGAAAAGATGAAATCTGACACAAGCTGACACAATCTGACACAAGACAAACCGTGACTAATTAACCCATTCCAAACAAATTCATAAAGCGATCTGTAAAGTTGTGAAAGTCGGTGCCTTCTGCCAGGCCCCTGCCCTGCCTCTATTCGTTTGTTGTCAAACTCCTGCGAAATATCTCTCCTGAGAGACTTCTCAATGACTGCAAGCCCACATGGCCCACATGAAAAATGTTGCTTCCGCTGCTTCCAACGAATTCAAACCTGTGTGAATCTTGGCCAGTGACGCTTCTGTTGCATTCTTCAGGGCAGTCTCCACGGCTCCAAGGTCTTCCATTTTGCCCATGTTCAGCCAAGCCAAGGTAAGCAGAGCTTTCACCTGACGAGGATATGCGAATCAGCAGTTTCTTTGGAAAAATTCGGAAATGATTCCATCTGTATCATATCATATCATATCCATTTAGTTTCTTCTATGTATTCGAGCTTTTCTTCATCTCCTCCCTACCCTGCTCTACAGATTCTACAGCACAAACCTTTAGCAGCTCTGGCAACCCTAATCAATCGAAGGACCCTTATCGTTGTCACAATTAGAACAACAAAGTCTTCTAATTGTCACCTGGTGCATTCTTGGTGACGACAAGGTACCTCCCACTCTTTGTTGTTCGAGTTCCGGCAAATAGACCTTGCTTCCTTCAGAGCACTCACAGCCTCTGCCTTCACAGGGTGCTTTTAGTAAGTGAGAACTGAGGCAAGGTCTGAAAAAAACTCAGGTTAATTCAGGTAAACAGGAGTCAGGAGGACAGTCTAAGGCTTTAAATCCAACGGCAACTGCGGCTCGGGTCCACTCCTAAATTCGTACACGTAAAACGGGTGACTTTCACTCGTCATGTTTGTTCATGCCACAACATTTCTCAAGAAGGCGGCATGGCAAATAATTGACCCTCGATTGACCCTTGATTGACCCTCGATTGTCATGATTCTTGAATATCGCAACGCGTTGTAGGATGCGCCAGTTGACATGCAAAAAAGGATGTCGCCTTGGAATACTAGGAATGGAAACTACTGGTATCGAATTGGACCAATTGGAACCTCAAGATTTAAAATATTATGCATGCATGCATGCATACGTGCATCTATCTATCTATCTATCTATCTAATCCTAATCTAATCCTAATCTAATCTAATCTAATCTAATACTATCTAATCTAATACTATCTAATCTAATCTAATCTAATCTAATCTAATCTATCTATCTATCTATCTATCGGTGTATCTATGTAATGCATGTTATGTATGTTATGTGTGCTATGTGTGTTATGTATGTAATGTATGTAGTGTATGTAATGTATGTAGTTTATGTAACGTTGCATGTAGCGTATGTAGCGTATGTAACAATAACGTATGTAACGTATGTAATGTATGTAGCGTATGTAACGTATGTAGCGTATGTAACGTATGTAACGTATTTATGTAATGTATGTATGTAATGTATGTATGTAATGTATGTGTGTAATGTATGTATGTAGTGTATGGTATGGTATGGTATGGTATGGTACGGTATGGTATGGTATGGTATTGCATGTATGTAGTATGTATCTATGTGTCTATGTGTCTATCTATCTATCTAAATGTAAATGTAGATGTAGATGTAGATGTAAATGTATATAAATGTAATGTACTGTACTGTACTGTAATGTAATGTAATGCATGTATGTGATTCATCATATAACAACCTTGGGAAGCTAGCTGAGGAACCTGCAACTCTCTTGATGGGTCTAGCGCTGTGCCGGAAATTTTACAGCCGCTGGAGACGGAAACCGTTCGAAGTACGGGGAAAATGTCTAAAGCGATTCGCCTTTTTAGAGTCTGAGATAACTCTTTTAAATGACTTGACTTTTCAAACACACTGAAAGTAACGTCAAAGAGTCGTCTCAAAGAGTCGTCTCAAAGAGTCGTCAAAGTCGACTCAGTGACGCCCCGTCAGCGGCCTTGGCTCGACCTTCCTTCGCTGGAGTGGACTCCCCGAGTGACATGAGCATCTTGGCCTCGCCGAGCCGATGACCAACCTCGAGCGTCCACAGAGTGTTCAGAGATGTTCAGAAATGGAGCTATCATTCAGTTATAATATGTTATAGTGATGAGAAGAATTTTAAGCTAATGATAAGAGTAAAATTGAGATGGACTGAAGAATCATGCTCTCTGTCGCTCCTGTTTTTCATGCTTCTGACATATTGACAGTATAAGACTGTATAAGACTGTAAGATAGTCGTTATTAGACGTATTGAACGACGTATTGTTGCTGAACCGCGCCTCTCGAAACTTGGCAAGCTCCTCTTTTGCCAAATCTTGTGCTCGAGAATGCTGTTCTCGACCCACGAGGCCCTTCACGACCTCTGGCTACTCTGGCTCATCTGGCTCACACAAATGTCTCAGTAAAATCTGACAAGCTTCGCGGCTTCGCAGCACTTCCAGGAAATTCCAGGAAACTGAGGAGTCAACCAAACGAACTGCATCAGCCGCAGCATCCTTGTTGCCACTGCCTCTGAAGGCTTCCAGGGCCTGCTGCCCTTTCTCAACTGCTTCAGCCTCAACTCAATTGTCCATGAAAGAAGAAAGACCTGGCCAAAATAGAAAAATGATGAAACATGTAAATCCTTCTCTTTCTCAGAATAATGTATGATGATGTTTGAGGTAACTTGACGTAATTTTTCTGCCGTTGCAAACGCACAGTACTCGTATACTTTCGAGGGGCAAAACGCTCCAAGCCAAGAAGATCCTCAGCTTCTGCGAACGCTTCACCTCCTGAAACAGCTGTGTACTTCTCCCACAAGAAATCACCTTGGGCTCACAAGGGGCAAGTTTAATGCTTAGTATCACTCAGTAACACTTAGTTGCATCTTCAAATATCTTCATTTCTCCAAGATTTGACTGACCTCCTACCCTGCGTCATTGAGAACTCTCCAGGCGATCTATATACTACGCCAGAGGAAAAACATCAATCTCTCAAATTAGGCTGGTTGAGGAAGCAAGGCGGAGCAGTTCAAATCTGTTGAACACATTTGAACACTATCAGAAATTTAACAGCCATCTGCAGTTCAGATCTGAGGGACGCACCACCCCCTCGACATGTCTGAAAAGGCATTATCAAAGTCTAAGTTATCAAAGTCAACGAAACTCCATGGGATGAAGTCTCGAATGCTAAGCGATGGTTCAAAGCTCGTATTGAAGCATGTGAGGTCTTTGCAAGCGATAATTAGACGTGCTGTTGAGTGTTGTTCATATTATATAGTACTGTGATGTACTGTGGAGAATCGGCAGCCAGAATAAAGTGGTCTTTAAGTTGTAGGATCATCTTGCTGCTCTTGACCATGGCAACAAGGACTGCCTTCTAAGCCTTCTTGAGCCAAGCGGAATACAAATTGCATACAGTACTGCACAACTATCCAGCGTGACTTGATTTAGAATACTGCACTGCTGCAAGTTCAGTTTATTCTGCTTAATCCTCTGCCTCAGTTTGTGCTGTCAGCCACTGAGCTCCTTCATCGGCAAATGTATGTCCGCTACACTACCGATGACTTCAAAGGCCTCGAGAGCAATGCAGCGAGTTGATTTGTGCACTAACACTGGAGCACACATCTCATCACCCCACATCACTTAAAGTCAATTCGCATCACTGCACGACTACTTCCAAAACTGAATTCAGGGCCTTCCGCAAGTGCTTCCTTGGATGCGATCCATGAATACTCACTTGGGTGCAAGCTGGGGGCAAGTCAACAAGATACCCCTCCTGCCCAATTTTTCCAAGAATCTGGTTGGCATTGAAGGACAAGTTCCGGACAATCAATCGTCCTGCCTGTCAAAACAAAGCAAGTCAAACCTTTCCACTTGCCTTCAGTGATCGCAAAGGAGCTGAACTGGTCCTTCCCGTCAGCTGTTGTTTAGCTTTCTGAAGTCTGTTTGTTTTCCGTGCAGACCTGTCTAGACCACCTCTATGCCAGCCTTGCTGCTTTGCCGACTGAGTTCTAAAGCCCTCAATGTTGCAGACACCGTGTAACCTGAAAAGGACATCTTGTGTAGCACACAGAAACAACAGACTGGCAAATCTGTGACTTCCTGGCCACCCGGCCTTTCAACTTTTATTTCTTACTTATCCTCTTCTGAAGAAACCTTTCATTTCTGACGCATTTCAGCCTTTTATGGTTGCACCCGACTCCGCTTCGTCTTCTCTCCTCTTCTTTCCTCTTCTTTCCTCTTCTTTCCTCTTCTTTCCTCTTCTTTCATCTTCTTTCCTCTTCTTTCCTCTTCTTTCCTCTTCTTTCCTCTTCTTTCCTCTTCTTTCCTCTTCTTTCCTCTTCTTTCCTCTTCTTTCCTCTTCTTTCCTCTTCTTTCCTCTTCTTTCCTCTTCTTTCCTCTTCTTTCCTCTTCTTTCCTCTTCTTTCCTCTTCTTTGCTATGGTTCATCATGTTCATCTTCCCTTTCTTTGCTTCTTCGTTTTTTTCGCTGATTTTACATTTTTCTTAGTGAAAAATAATTTGTCAAATTCAAAGTTGAGCCTTTTAGTGAAAAATTACAGGCTCTCGAGCAGTACAACTACTGATACTGCTAATTTTAGTTGGTCTGCGGGATTCTCTCTGCTCAATTTTGTTTTGATCCGCTCTTTGGCTGGTGGCGGGAAGAACTTGCCAGAGGCTGGAGAACAGCAGGCCCAATAACACAATCGCAACAAAAACCAATGACACGCAATGTAGCATCACTGGCAAAAGAAGAGTGCTAAAATGACATAGCTGCAAAACATCCATCAGTTGCGGAGAGCTCATGAGAGTCGAGTCTGTTTGGTCTAGTGTGATGTTGTAGGCACCACACCGTTCATCTCTGCTCCATTCAGCTCTTGGAGCCTTGGTAAGGTCTCCATTTTCTATGAAACCCATGACAGCGCAACCTTCTCAGCTCAGCTTGCAGAGCTCAGTTCACTGCGCCCGTTTGGCATTGTGGTCCTACCCCGGCACAGAGCTGCGAACATGGTGCAAACAGCTCAAACATGCCCCCAAAATTAACACCTACTAATGACCGAACCATGACCTAGTAATGACCTAATGATGACCTGATAGCTATCTGACAGCTATCTGACAGCTATCTGACAGCTATCCTTCAAAGATCGTCAAAGCATCAAAACCCTGTCACAGTTGTCACAGTCGTCACAGTCGTCACAGTCCTTCCAGAAGGAGATTGTGAAATGACCAGGTTTCCCAAGAATCCGACGCACAGACTGCGGCAAGTTTCAAATGGAACGCTGAGGGGAGAGGTCCACTCGGATTTTCAGCCGAGCAGGTATTCTCAAAAAAGTCAGAAGAAACTAGCATCATAGATACAAAAACAAATATCTTAGTAAACAGAAAACAATCTTAGTAAACAGAAAACAAAAGTATTGTATATAGTATATAATTACTGTAGTGGATATTATACAATTAGTGGATATTACACTTCAGGTGGTGACTGTCTGCAGCGCACCTCGATTCCACATCCACCGGGCAACTGCTCCTGTAAGAAGAAGGGTCATGGGTCGGACGAATTGTACTATGTGGCTTGTTGCAGGCGTAATGCCAGCCGTACACAGGCATCGGCCCTGTTTCATGTCCTCAGAAGTTCATGCCTGCGTATAGTCAAAACCAAAAACAAATGCAGCACAGAACTCTTTCTGGCCAAAACCCCCTGAATTGCTTTCACAGTACAGAAATTATATGAGGCGTAGGTGCTGGAATTTGAGGTCCTTAATTTGAGATCCTGGTAGTCCCAAGTGGGTAGGCTGGAATGCATATGTACACACTAACCTGTGTAGACAACACGCATAGATGATTAGAACATGCATGTTCAAAAGGACAAATTATGTGAAAACAATGGCATGACATAACATGACTTGGTGCGAAGGGACATGACTGGACGGAACACAGCATGAAATGGCATCCCGGCATGGCATCCCGGCATTGCATCACACAACGAAAGATATATGCACATAATATCTCCAAACAAGCATGTATTCATCCCATTTACGGGTCATCATTTGAAGCTGCAACTGGTACGAAGCAAAGAAATCATTTGTTGTCCTCAACCCAGTCTTTGAGTTCATCTTTGGTGGTGTCGGGCCTTAGCTTCTGTCTCCGACAGTCCAGGCTGACAGCTTAGGTTGCGATGTTGCCGATCCGAGTACCCTGATCTCGATTCTTCAGCTTGGTTTTCCAGCCCCAAACCACTCAGCTGAAGGTTGCGCAAGTGGTCAGTGAAAGTCTCCTAGAGAAGATGCATTTTGTCTTTTTTTTCTGGCGGAGAGAACGACATGATGAGCGGCATCGATCGACGTGCACAGGGCCTCTTTGCTCAACTTGCGCTTCTTGAGATCTGGATCTGCAACATCTGTCTGCTCGTGAGTCTCCTGCACTTTTTCAACAGAGACTCACACATCTCACACAGTAGATCTCACTCATCTCGTCTTATTCATGTCTATGACGTCTGCATGTCACCTCCAAACCCTCTAAACTTTTGAGTCTCCTGATCTTGCTGCCTTGAAGTCTCCTTCTTCTTCTTCATCTCCGACGCTTTCGGCTGTACATATTTGATTTTGAAGCGAAGTGATTTATTCAGGCTGGTAAGGTTTGCTCTCAGGGAAAAAAAACATGGGGTCAAATGTATCGGTCAGCATCTGACTCAATGAAGTGACTAGTCTCTAGACAAAACAGACACTTATGCATTTGGTTTCATCTTTGCCTTGCTTGCTGTTTCATCACTCTTGAGCCACATGAACTTGACGAAGGCACTCTCAGTTGAGACATGTTGAGACTATCCAACAGCAAAATCAGCCAGACTTTGCGCAATGGAGACAATGGAGACACTCCAACCTGAGAGCCAAAGTCTTCCGGTCGTAAAAGAACCTCCTGGCTCACAGCAACCTGGCAGAGTACGCTGCCAGCGTTGCGGCATTGCTGTGCCTTGGCAGGTGCCTCTAATTCGTCATTGCGGTAGACCAACCTGTCAAGTCAAGTCGTCAGGTACCACAAACACGAAGGGCAGTGCAATATATGTGCAATATATTGCAGTGATGTGATGTCTTTTTGACAGCCTGGCGCATGCTCACAAAATGTTCGCGATGTCTCCTCAGATGTGACATATAGTGAAATTCTGGTGCGGGGAATGGGGAGACAAAGTCCATGCTGAGCCATGGTCGTGCACTGCAGGTCTTGATCTTCAGGACAGCAATTTCAGCTATGGCTTCCACCTTGGCAAATCAACGCCTCGACTCCTCGACTCTACAAGTGCAGCTGCACAAGAGGCTGGTGTAACATATGGCATCAAAAAACGTACCAAACGTTCCACAAGCTGAGGCATCTTCGAATCCGAGATGCCCACAAAAATAGATTGCTTTCAACTACTTTGTTACATCATGTTACATCATGTTCCATCTACGTCATGCAAACTCATTGACGCTCACGAGGTCTTTGAGGCTGGCGCAACTTGGCTGTCATTTCTTTCAAGGCGTCCAAATGCCCAAGCAGTGATCGCCAGTTGCTGGGCTGTCAAACTGGACACGTCATGCTTGATCGCAGCTGCAGCCACTGCAAGTTGCTCCTGGTACATCAAGCACAGGCGCCAGTTTCGGTCCATGCTGAAATTATCTATTGTGATTTTCCAATTTCTCTTCTAGTCAAAGGGATACATTCAAGTTTCTGTGTGGCAACCAAGAAAGCAAGCATCAGGCCCACAGAATGTCAGCATAGGGTTGGTGGGTTCTGACAAGATACCGAAGAACCAGTTTTTCATAGTTTTTCATTCTCGAGCTTGACTTGAGCTCGCAAAAAATAACTAAAAAAATCACTGCAAGATTGCATTGATAGGTGCGTGTCCAGCGCTTGCCTTTGCAGTGGCTGAATATGATCCGAAGATCCTTCAATTTCTTTGAAGTGTCACATCTGTTGTGATGCTAGTGGTTCTTTAGTTGAACGGTTGTTCAAAGCTGCTCAATGATCACTGAAATGTGAATCCTTCCCGTCCCTGCCTCTTTCTACACTTTGGACGCCAAAGACCAAACCAAGGCTGTCAGTTCACGCAGCTCGCGTATTCTAGGACGAGCCCGTGCCATGATAGCCAAAGGATGCCAAAGGAGTCTAGAATCTATAAATGTTTTAGAGGGAACAAAACAAAGCTGGAAATGTTCGCAAAGTACGTACAGTAAACACAAAAACTCAATAATGTCGTAACAGTATGTTGCTTCAGAGCGTTCCTGACATTGGTGTTTAATGTTTTTTGTGAAACGTTTGGGGGTAAAACTTTGCAAACTTATGGAGTTCGTTGGCAGCTCAAGATGCAGCCTCTATGAATGGCTTGCCTCTACATAACTTCTTGAGCCAAAGAAAGAGAGTCAAAACAAACGTGTCAGCACAGCATAAGACTGTTCCAAGATATTGGCATTGTTGCGAAGTTGCCTTTCAAACGCTCGTGTGCTTTTCCCTCTGCGGCTTTGAGAAGCTAGTATGGCTTTGCCAAGACTAAGGTTCTTCTGGCTCAGCCGGACCTTATCCAAACATATCCAAACAGCATGTCTGAATCTTGCAAAAATTCAAAAACCCGAAAGACACTCGCACAGCTGCTGGGGCATCTGCAATCGAAAAAAATCCTTAATGCCTCTCCTTGGGGTCAACATGCGGTCATTCGTTAGCGCCAGCATGATCCATATCAGACGGTCATCAAACGCGTCTGTTCCAAATGCATGACACAAGAACAAAACGCAAAAACATCAAAAACTCTGAGAATCTGCGAGATCTGCGAGATATTGTGCCCAGCATTGCCCAGCATTGCCCAGCATTGCCCAGCCCTTTTGCTTCCAGCTTTGGAGCCAAGTGACGTTTACAAAAGCTCAGGCCTCGGTGCTGTGCTGCAACTGTCAGTTTCTGTTACATCGTGCCACATGGTGCCACGGTGCTTTTCATCCCGTGCGAAAAGGTGAAATGCAAACAGCAACTCAGCCTCTCAATCCTCTCAGCCATGTCTGAATATTGGCTGATATCACAGGCAGTGCCAGCAAGCTGCTTGTTGAAGTAGATCCAGAACAAAACTGCAGGCCCAAGGCTGATGATGAAGATAGCCTTTCGCGGTCCAGTTTCTTCAGCTCAAAGATCAACTGATTCAAAACAAGAACGCCGTTTTGATTGATGATTGGAGCAAGGTGACAGACTCTCCTGCGAACATGATATATTGATGAATCAACAAACTCAGAAAGGGAGATGTTTAACAAAATTAACAAATTACATTATCCTGCCATACTGCTGAAAGTGTTGTTTCCTCTGCAAGCTGAGCGTTCGCACCCAGCCCAGCTGCAGAAGTGCATAGCCCGAGTTGCCAGCCAGCGCTACCTGAGGTACAGCCTGAGAAACAATGAGCAAATATAATAGCAATCATGTTCCTAGCAGCAAATAATAGCAAATATGATCGCATACTTTGAGCAAATTCCTCAAGATAAGGCAAGGCTTGGAATGAGCTGGAACTGGAATCAGTTGAACCATGCTGCAATCATTGCTGCAATGTTTGCTCATTGCTTTGCCTTGCGGCCCTTGCGCATGCGCATGTTGAGTATCACACTGCCACGGCCGCACCCAGCAGCGCAGCTTCCGCTTGGCCCCGCAGTTGAGGAGGTGCGCCACCGTTGCCGTTGCTTGGTGCCACAAAGGCAAAGCCACAGAATGCCTTGCGAATGTTTTTGTGGCACCAAGCAGCGAATGTTTGTCGAATCAAAGCCGACAAAGCACAAGAACTCCAAAACCATCCAAAACCGACGAGAAAAGGAGAAAAGTGTCCAGGATCAAGGAACCACCCTGAGACAGAGCGTGCATGAGGAACAGAGCAGTTTAAATATGTTTGAATTGTAGAGCTCCTTGAGCTGTTGTGTCTTCAAGTGTAATCAAACTCCGACAATTTGTTTGGGAGAGACCAAGAAGACTCGCGATGACACTGACCAACTAAAAGCGGTTCCAAATTTGCACGAAACATACCAGTGTACAAATGAAGAAGTGCATGTCGAAAAGCGCATGGACTGGCTTTTTTGATGATTCGAAAACGCTCTTCTGAGTACAAAGTTGAACACAGTGAAGCTTGGAACAACATTTTACTACTTTCAAGATGTTTCAAGAATTTTCAAAGACCATCATCATATTGCTTTTAGAAAACGCCGGCAGTCAAAACAAGCAAGAAATTCAGGATGCCCAAGATGCAACTGCCAGGATGGCGACCACCAGGATGGTGCTGCTTCGGCGAGCCATTGGAAGCTGTGTGCAATCTGGCGGAGCGAAGCACTGGGAGTCTCTTCAGATAGGCCAGAAATGGCTAGAATAGACAGACTGTAGCAGAATAGAGATCGATAATTACATCGTACTGATACTCCTTTTTGAGTCTCCTTAGAGTCTCTATACAGCTCCCAGCGTCTATACGTCCATCATCTATTGCAAAGATTAAATTATGATTGGCACTTGAAAATGCACAGTCACACCAAAGAAAGATTCACTGTCATTAGTCAAATGTATTCTAAACTCACGTGATCTGGGGTCCTAGCGCGTGGGAAAGCAGAAGGAAGGTGTGAGCCAAAACACTTGGCCGTCAGAAGGCAGTGCAAAGCTATGAACAACCCTGCGCATAGGCTTCGGCATGCTGAAATGAAGACTACCACTTTCCTGATTTGTCTGACGTGGAATTTTGCAAAGACTCAGAAAAACATGAAACCCTCAGAAGAGGAAACTGCCGCAAAGTTGCGGGGGCAGTGAATGGCTTTGCTTCGGCTGAAGCTTTCAACTTTCAAGCAAGAGGTCATACACCCACGCATTTTCCTACCGGCAAAGCGTGCTGCTAGAACAGGGATCAGCCGACATGAGTGCCAGAACACTCCGTCACAAATCGCTTGTAAAGCCTGGGTGTTGGTAGGGTTGGTACGAGATGGTACGAGTATCCATTCGAGATTTCGTTGCCATGTGTGGAAGTTGCAAAGTTGATCAAAGTTGCAGAGTTGCGCTAGCACTGTGAGGGACACAATGTGGCCACTTGCTGCCGAGGAACGACATCGCATGTTTCTGTCTCGCCTCACCAACGAGTGGCCTGCTTCGCATCGGCGGTTTCAGGTTCCTTGCTTGTCATATCTTGTCTTTATGAAGGTTGCTGTGTCATGTTGGAAGTCCGTCTCAGTGCTTGTCAAGTTGTTGCCTGAACGGGCCATCAGGGCACGCCTGACTGCTTCAACACGCTGCTTCGATGACAAACAATACATCTGTGGGCATGTGAATCCATAGTGTAGGAAAGCAGAAGTGTGGCAAGCTTGCAAACACTTCCTGCCTTTAGCACGCTAAATTTTGGTGGCATACGAATGCTTTGCGGTTGGAGCCTGAAACGGCACAGCTGGCAGAATGTGTGGCTCTTCTACAAAAGCTTTTGTTTCTGAGGCCCTCACAGTGTTCCGCTTGGTGCCTTTTGCACGAAACTCTCTGCCAAAATGATCCAGTTTGCAAAGGATGCAATGATAGGCTTTGATGCCGATTTCTGGCTCACATGCAATCTGGAGCCCGATCAAAACACCAAACAAACACAGGACACGTGACATGTGTGTGTGTGTCTTCTTTTTTTGCCCAGTCGCATATTTGAATGTGTAAACCTCAGATAAGCAAAGACAATCAAGATAAGTAAAATATCATCAGGCACGTCAAGAAACTGGCAAACCCTACGTTCGCCCAGTTCACTGAGTTCTAGGCCATGTCAGCATCCTTCCGCTGCACATTGTAGTTCTCCCCTTCCCCCGGCCGCCTGTGCCTAGGCAGTTCTGAAGCATTGAAACGTCTTGAAACATTTTGAGCCGAGCAAAGATTAACCATTATCAAGACATATCAAAATCAAAGACTTGATATTGCTCTGATTTTGATCAGTTTAGGGGTCAGACTGCGAGAGACCAGGAACAATATCAGTTTGTACTACACAAGGCACACACGACGGCAGAAAATGCATAGAAAAATAACCCATCTTTGTAGCCCAACAGGTTCCGTCCCGATTCCGCTTCGGTTTTCGTGCGCAAGCACACGACGCACCGCCCCAGTCACTGCTGTTGCGAACACATAAAAAAAAAAAAACTGTCAGTTTCAATCAGAGAGAGGGAGAGATGTGCAGATCGCACACACGAATCCACAAACAAAATCGAAACATTCCAGCAAATTGACCGGACTTACTTAGAGCTGCCGCAAGCTACCACAATTTGTTGACACCGATATCTTCTCGACCCTGAAACGGCATTATCGAATATTATCGAGGCATACCACAGAGACTTTCCCGAACTGTTTGCCATGCGATGCTTGCCTTGTTTCCCTTTCTTCAAGGTCTGAACAAAGCCTAAGCAAGGCCTCCGGGGTATGACACCTTCTACGAAATGAACTTACCATATTGTTTTGAATCTTCACGGCTTAGACAGCCATTCATATCGTCACCTTGTAACCCCTTTCAGCTTCAGCACCCACGGACCAGAACACTTTTTCTGACAATTCGTCTCAATTCATTCTTTATACCGACAAAACTTTGGACATCGTAGGGAAAGGATGCAAACTTCACACACCTCACAACCTGCTCAGCCGAACAGTGCCGCCCAAACCAGTGCCAAAGGACATTAAAGGACAAGAAACAACGGCCACAAGGAAGGGGGCAGTAGCTTATTCACATGGGGGTCTCTTCAAATGGGGGATCCGCAAAACCATGGGCTTCAATACTAAAATTATTTGATTTTGGATGATTTGGGGGTACCCCTATTTATGAAACCCATATATATATATACCAGTAGTACCGCACAAGGCGGCGGCGGAAGTTTCAAAAATAGGAAACCTATAGGAGAGGTTGGTTGTTGCGAATCAGGGATGGCAGAGCGAAGCCACTGATGGACCGAAAGGTGCTTGAGGTCTCCTCTCTTTCTCTCTCTTTCTCTCTCTTTCTCTGACTATCTACCTACCTACCTACCTACCTATCTATCTATCTATCTATCTGTCTATCTATGTACCTATTTATCTATCGATCTATCTCTCTCTCTCTCTTCCACTAATTACCTATCTATCTATCTATCTATCTGTCTGTCTGTCTGTCAGTCTGTCTGTCTGTCTATCTCTCTCTCTCTCTCTCTTTCATCTGTCAATCTGTCTAGCTGTCTACCTGTCTATCTGTTTATCTATCTATCTATCTGTCTGTCTGTCTGTCTGTCTGTCTGTCTATCTCTCTCTCTCTCTCTTTCATCTGTCTATCTGTCTAGCTGTCTACCTGTCTATCTGTTTATCTATCTATCTATCTATCTATCTATCTATCTATCTGTCTACCTGTCTATCT